TGGCACATTAAACCTGTCAAGACCTTACAACATAAGTGTTCTATCAGAATCTTTCAGTTGTGTGTTATAGTGTGACAGCCTGACCTAACAGAAAAGCAAAGAAACCACACACATACAGACATTGCTAAACAAGTATTCATCCAGTAGCCCCATGCACCAGGCACCAATGGCATCGCTAAGGGAGTCAAGGGGTGCAGAGCACACCAAGTGAAACTGTCAGAAGTGGTGAGATCAAATTGACTGTCTTTAAAATTTTAGTGCAGTGTTTCAGCAGAAATTTATTATTTTTATAAAAATACCCCCTGAAGTTAGTTATAACAACAAAAACATTTTTATAAGCCCAACTTACATTCATCAGTATACCTACAGGGCTAAAAACTCCATGCTAATTTACTTTTTTAACCTTCTAATGTACTTCCCACCACTCATCTGTCAGTTTGTTACTGTAGTGGCTTGCATGTTGCTGTGATGCTGGAAGCTATGGAACTGGTATTTCAAATACCAGCATTGTGGACAAGTTTCAGTAGAGCCTCCAGACTAAGACTAAAAAGGACCTGGTGCTTTTCTTCTAAAGAACATGGGCAGTGGAAACCTTAGGAGTAGTAGGGGATACATTATCTGATACAGTCCCTCTCAGGTTGGTAGACACTCAAAGTACAGTTGAGGAAGAGCTGCCTCCTCAAAGCCCAGTTGACTTTAATGACAGGGATGGAATAAAACTTTCAGGACCTTCATTTGCTGATGTGGCATGACTCAAACAGCTAGAAATATCCACAAAGTAAACTATTATAATGATATATGCAAAGATCTGGAGTTAGAAAATCAAAAAGAAAGAACACAATTGACATTTTGTGAGCTAAGAGAACTAAAGAAAAAATTCAAGCCTTGAGTTGCAATTTTGAAGGATTCCATAGGCAAAATAGTGAACGATGTGGGAAGCATCAAAAGAAGATGGAAGGAATGCATAGAGCCATTGTACCTAAAAGAATTGGTCAATGTTCTTTATTCTTTAGAAGAATATGTGATCAAGAACTGATGGTACTGAAAGGAAGAAGTCCAAGCTGCACTGAAGGCATTGGTGATAAATAAGGCTCCAGGAACTGACGAAATACCAATTGAGATGTTTCAACAAATGAATGTAATATAGGAAATGCTTACTCATCAATGCCAAGAAATTTGGAAGACAGCTACCTAGCCAACCAACTGGAAGAGATCTGTTTTTGTGCCCATTCCAAAGAAAGATGATCCAACAGAGTGCAGAAATTATCAATGTCATAAATATCTCACACATTTGCTGAAAATACTTTTTAAATTGTTGCAGAAGTACATCCACTGGAACTTCTGGCAATTCAAGTGAGATTCAAGCAGAATAAGAGACATCATTACTGATGTCAGATGGATCTTGGCTAAAGCCAAGAAAACCAGTAAATGTTTACTTGTGTTTCATTGACCATGCAAAGGCATTCAAATGTGTGGACTATAGCCAATTATGGATAACATTTCAAAGAATAGAAATTACAGAACACTTAATTGTGCTCATGCAGAACCTCTACACACACCAAAAGGCTGCTGTTCAAATAGAACAAGGGGATAC